AATTATGGTGTCTCTCCACCGCCACGGGTCGGAGCGGTGCCAAGGTGCTCCCCAGTCAGCGTGGCTGTGTTTCCGCTGCACCATAAAATGCATTGTTTATCTTCTGCATCATGCGGGGGTGGTGTCAGCCGCTGAGAAGCGACACATACAGTAACCCATGGTGTTGGTATGGTGCTGCTAGCTTGCAACACGGAGCCCCTGGTGCTTGGCTTTCTGTTGACCCCTCACCAGAACACCAGGTGAGAGACTTAAATAGTGAATAAAAAAGCCAGTGCTAAAAAGTGAGGCTACTTTTCCTTGGTGCAACATTTCAGCCAAAAACATGTCTTGGTGAGCCAGATGTGTTGAAGGCAGAAGCAGGGCCAGCTGACCCCAAGTCAGCACTATAACCCCCTGCAGCTAGAAACTAATGGAAACAGAAGCTTGAATAAAATGGGCTGACCCATGCTGATGGAAAAACACCATTAGTTTATGCAGATCCACCACAGTTTACCAGACTGTTGTGACTCAGGATGGTCTGCTGATTCTGGCAATGTCACAGCCAATTGAGAGGGATAGACTGAAAAAAGGCTCAACACACTGATCTGATTATTCTTGCTCAACTGTTTTGCACATGTAGGCCTAAAACTATTGATGCCTCATGTTTAAGTCGTTTTGCATTTGCCAAGGAAAAAGAATTATCCTTGGTGCACAGTTTTATAACCAAGACATGTTTAGAATTTAGCCTATAATATGCAATGCACTTGCTGAAGGCAGAAGAAATTTAGATTCCTAGGACAAATTCTGAGAAGTGCTTTGGTATATATTCTACACTGGTCTTGAATCAAATGAAAATTAATTGAGTCTGGATTATGTGAATAAAACTCAAAGTGCTGATATTCAGCAGTAAACAGAATATACTGTAAACAGATGTAATGACTCAGTAAAATGCTGTTGAAATCAGCATGGCAGTGTAGAGACTACGTCCAGTCCAACCAGGACAAAAAGGACAGGTAACAGACAAACTAAAGCAGCTTCTGGAACAGAATACAAATCTGTGAAACTGTATTTGTTCATATCAAACAGTGATCAGGACTCACCGAGTTGGGGTTTGGGGAGGTAGGATGGATTCAAAGTCAGGACAAGGTCCCAGCAAAGCACAAAGGAGCTAAAATGAGTTGATTATTGGAGCTGTGAAGTCCAACAGGGCATAAGAGGCTGAGTCTGAGGCAACAACTCACAGCTATGAACTCACTGAGTGACCAGAAGGATCAACACAAGGATTCATCAAGCCTCAAATCACATCAGTTGAGGCTGAGAGCTTCTGTAAAGTTGCCCATTAAAAGCTCTGCATCCCTTTTACAGCTTTGAATCTTCCTCGGGTCTGCTTTTACCGCTTCTCTGGCTCACTGGTCTACACTTCCTCTCTTTTATTAGCTTACATAACAAAACATTTAAATAAAAACTTGTCCATGTCAAAATATTTGCTTGGCTAGATGACAAAACTCTTTACAAAAAGGCCGTGGTAAAATGACAGATTCCACCAAAGTTTCATTCAAACACTATTAGTGACTTCTCAAATATTACATGCAATGTAATGAACAGGGGGCTGTGAACACAAATACAATAATATGCTAGATGACCCTGACAAGCAGTTTACAAATCCTGCTGGGTGGACACATCTGTGCATTAAAGGCTCCTGTCATCTTATTTGTCTCCAAGCACAATAGTGGCATGAACAGATCCCATTTGTATCCGTTAGCATGACAACATCCACCAAATGTCCACAAACAAGCAAAGCTTCCAGTGCCAGCTCGTGCTAAATGATGGGAGGAAGTTGGAAAGTCAGGCCCAGCCCCTGACAAAAGCCCCTTTTCCATCACCTTGTTTCATAATCTCTCATATACATTATACAAAAAAAAGCTGATTTATTATTCAGAAAGGGCATTTTTTTATCTTTTCCTTCATTATTTTAATACCGTGATGAATATTATATCATGGACCTTTTATGGCAATAATGTACTGTGAATGTTTGTATTGTTACATAGTGAAATGCTCATTAGGCCACGCAAAAAGAATTGTGTACACAACAAGGATTAGGAAAAATACATGTAAAGGATAAATTGTGGTCTTGCTAACGCAAATCTCTGACTTGTGCACTTACACAACACAAACAGGCTGAATGTCTTAGCAGTGACTTGTGGTTCAGACAGGTATTATATTTTATTATAGACTATATTTGTATTTTGATTCATTTTGGAATATTGGATCTTAGAAGTTCTGTTAACTTTTATTTAGTTTTCACAGTGCAGTTATTTACTGAAATTTGTTTAGATTTATGTTTAATGTTTAATCAAGATCTATTTTATTAAAGTCTGCTAAATTCTTTCCTCAGTTCAAAGAAGCCAGCTTAATACCTTTATCAACAAACCTATTAATAGTACAATAAGAGAATCTAAGGCAGTTTACTGCATGTGTGATGAACGAGCACGTCAGCCGGCCTCGGTGCCCAAACAGCCTTTGTGGCCTTTGAAAATGTACGACATGAAAGGCCAAATGGCTGCGCCCTTTAAACTATAAAATATATGGCCTGGTGGGTGGCATTTAAAAAATAATAACAATATCACTAATATGTTAGGGTGCGCTTATGTTTTCACAATTGCATGGTTAGGATTTTCAACTTACATTCACCCAAATTAGTCAAATGACATTTTCTTGTTCCTGTATAAAACACATCATTTTCAGAAGTACATGTTTTTGCCATGCACTGAGACAGTGAACTATGAAGCTGGAGGGATGCTTCAAGGTGTCACACTGTAACTGATTCCAGTTCTGTGGAGTCAGACTACAACATGAGTAGTTTGATTAGAGCAGAGGAAGTTTGCCTCTAATCCTACAAAACAACCAATACAAACAAAAACTAACCAAATTCGGCTACTTTAGGGTCACTGAAGTATTATTTCAAAGCATTGTGATGTTTATCAGTATTCCTCAAACCTGATAGGTGAGGGAAGGTCATAGCCAAATACTGTGACAAAATAAAGTGAAGCAACATCGAGACAACTTTTGCTTAATTTCAACAGAAATGATTATTTTAGGAGCCCCAAGAAATTGCTCTATCCTTGGCTATGTGAAAGTGGCTTTAGAAGCTGCAGACATCCATCTATTGTTTTCTATTTGCTCACCAATAACCCACAACATATAATTAAGAGACACAACAGCTTCACAAACACACACACCCAGAGATACACACAAACTAAAAATGTGAGGCTGTTGCTTGTTTGCTACAGGTGTTTAAGCCACAGGGAGGTTTTCTTAAAAGAAGAAATTCACTCTGAACTGCGATGTACCTTTGAGTCCCGGACCCACGTTTTTGCTTAACAGTATAATTTCCATGTAAATAAGCTGTTTGAAATGTGTGTATTAATACAAACGTTCCCACATCTAATTTAAATATCAGGTGATACAACATGGAGGAGCTGCTTTCTATACTCAATTCATTCCAAAAATAGCACGATCACGTCAAGTGATTTACAAAATAATAACAAGAAGAAAAGCCCTGGAATGAACATCACACACCACAAAGTCATGTGAACGGGGCCTTATTGACTCTGATCACCACTAAGAAAGCATCACGTCACACAGTAATCCAGTAAGCTTTGGTTTAAGACCAACTGAACCACAGAGAACAGGCTTCACCGTCCCTCGTTCCTCTCCAACAGACCTCTCCATGTGACCAGGGAATAACCAGAGCCTTGAAATAAGTGCTTTGTTTAGGACACCAATACCTGACACACACTACTCATGGTTAAGATCACCTTTTCTTTTGTTTTCAGCTGCAGAGGAGACATTTTAACATCATGTATGTAATCACAGAACAACTTAACGGGTTCAGGCTCAACATCTTCAGACATTCAGGTGAATTTTTTTTTTTTTTTTTTTTTGCTTGTTTACGTAAACCACAAACATTAACATACATCTTTTCTTGGATAAATAAGCACGGGGTTACCTATGGTGTCACTCACTGACACTCTGTTTGACATCTGCTGGTGTCTACAGCGAGTAACAGAACATCAAATGTACAAAAAGATCCTGAACTGAAAAGAAAAAGGCAGCAACAGTATTGACATGAAGAGCCTGTTTTACATCTGCTCCAACTGGTGCTCTGCTCCCAGCAGAGTTATCAGGAGCACCCCGGGCCAGATTTGTTTTTTAAAGCACTGCCATGACCTTGTTCCTGCGGGGCCAGTAGTTTACAAGCCTACACCAGCAGTCCTGAGGGAACCGCTTCCGCCAGCACGGGCTTGAAGGAATCTCAGCAGAGCAGGGACACGGCCTGGCTGCTGCTGTCCCGTGTTTACACACCCAAAGCTGTGGCTCGCGCGCGCACACACACACACACACACACACACACAGGTGTGCCACTAAAAGCAGTGGCTGTTAAATGGAAGAGGTCTGGAGCATAGGTAACGTTGCATTCATGGAAGACACCTTTGTTGTTGTTTACACTTCCTCTAAACGCGTGACGTGCGTGACAGAGTTCCCCAGTACACCTGGCAACTCTCTACACTAGTCTCAGTCTCAGAAAACACTATGACCGAAGTATGGCACAACTCATAAACGCAAAGTGAAACGTCTGAAAAATAACAGCGCTAATTGTTCGTTCTTCCTAAAAGACAGTTCTACGACATGACACAATGTAACACAACAGTGAGACTAAAGGCTGAACTTGTCTCCGGGTAACAATGTTGCACAACACGCAGTTGAGCTCCAAACTGTTATTAGTGAAAAACAATATATGTATTGCGCAACACTTACACTTTTGTCCTGCTGACTTATACGATACAACCTGGCAGGAAAACTCAGCCAGAGGAGAGGAACAGACACTCAGTTTTACTTTTAAGTGGAAAAGCGCAGAAATATAGACATTTATAAATATTGTTTGAGCCAATGTCCTCCCTATGCGTTCAAGCCGAAGCTGTGTAGGATAAATGTGCTAAACAAAGATAGAAAAACGCTACCTGGACTGAGGAGCCTTGCGCGTAACTGCTGGCTTAGTCCCCGTCTCCAAGAGCATCCACAGTGCAGGGTTTTAGGACCCGTAGGTGCTGTGACAAGCACACAACCAGCAACTCCGCCATACTGAGCTCATGTCGGACAACCTCCTGGATTTCCGTAGGGGGCGGGGTCTGCAGGACAGGGTGAGTGACAGATGAGAAGAAAGTAAACATGCATTCAGTTTCTTGGCTTAATGCAGCAGTCAACACATTCCATCTTCATGACGGTGACGGCGTTTCGTTTTTATTTTAGACAGTTTCAAAGTGGTGTTGATTCCACTGTGTAGTCACTGTGCATGATGGTTGTGTTGCTGTTAAACTGTACTGCATTTCAGAGGGAGGTGTTTCTGGTGTTTAGTCCACGCTCTTTGATATAAATGGAGTTGACTAGAAACACCTGACAGTATAACTGAAGCTAGAATTCACTGCAGAACTGTTGTATTAGATGGACTTAGCTGTACCTAATAAACTGGCCAACTCTGCAATACACAGCACAGGTGTGGATGTCCTCGGTTTATGTCCTCTTCCTCCAGATCAGCTGCAGGATACACTGATGTTCCCTGCTTTGCTATGTGTGTGGTTGATGTAATGTTGGTTTGCTCCCTCATATCATATTTTTGTCATGGGACTCAATGGTGAGCTACTGTAATTTGTTTTGCCAGTATTATCACTATAATATTCCTTTGGCATCTACATTATATTGAACTTATTATTGAACTTTCCAACTTATTATTTTTCCTCTTTTTCATTGTGAAATAATTCTAATGGGACATTGTGTCTGTGATACTATACAGTATGTACATTTTTATCAAACGTCTATTCTAGTAAAATAACACAATTGCAAGAAAAAAGAAATTATAGCCTATGTTCTCAAAACCTCACTTGCAAACATTGTTTTTTAAATAATATAAAAGATGAAGGATTAATTAAGCAACTATTTAAGAAGTTCAACAAATACACCCTATTATTTATTCAATCTAAATTAAAAACTCAGCTAATCTGCCTCATCAGTGGTATTTGTCAGACAACAAACAGCCCCTTGGCTTTTCAATAAGATTCAAAGGTCGCTGACTGTAACGGACACGTGACTCTTCCCAGTATAACACACTGTATACTGTAATACCAACTGCCCACCAAGACCTATACCCTGCACAAATCTACAATGTTCAGCGCATCTCTTTGACTGAGTATTGTATCTTACTTTCTTGTGTAACCTCAGTTTGCCTCTCCTGCGTCAGTTTCACTTGGTGATTTCCAGGCAGTCTTTTGCAGGATGACTTTCCATAACTGCAGAGAACATGTGTCAGCTTGTTGCATTCAGCAGTTGGTTTAATACTAAGGTGGAGAGACGAGCACTTTACCAACAGCAGATTTTCCAGCTGAGAAAAGAGAAACTCCTATTCTATATATGTAGCACAGTATGTTTGCTAACTGTAGTTTGCCATCACTGTTGATGAAACAGTGATAATCAGCCTTCTGGAAAAGAGCCTGCCTCTATACCAGCAATGGCGACGGCACATTTGTTGATCTAAATGATCCGGGAAATGCAGGAATGATCACCAGTCCCTATCTATAAATAGCTTAAGCTGTATTTAGGAGTTTATAGGCAGATTTGTTGCTTTCAGGAAATAGTTTCATAAGAAGAAAACCAGAGGTGTAATGCAACTGATGTGAGTGTGAGTGCACAAGCAAGAGCTATACCTCATGCTAATGCTTTAGATTACTTTTATTTCCATCTATCACACATTTTCTTTGCTCTAAAGGTGAGATGAACACTTCTGTCAATGCAAAAATAAGCAGTTGTGCCATGTAGTCAGCACATTGAGAGATCAGAAAAAAGAGCCACTGTTTTAGCACAAAAGTAAAATGATTTAAATTAGTCTATACACAGAAGAGAAACTGCTCCAACAAACTGGAGCAGGTCTTTGATTTCCCAGCAGCGCCTTTACACAATAGCTGGCTCATTATCTGACGCCGAATGACAGTAAATACGAATTACCACTGGATTTCCTTGTTTTCATGTTGACTGTTCATGATGTGTGTTTATAACAGTCTGAGTGACTGCGAACAAGTTGTCAGAGCCAATCAAACAGCTATATATAATATTCTGTATCAGACTGATAATTGGTTAGCATTTTAAAACAGGTAGTAACTCTGTCTCTGAGGAATGCCTTTTATCAATTCCCATTTGGCCCAAGTTTTAATAAACAGTTGGCGCAGTGACACACACACCATGGAAGTTAGCCTGGGTGGAGCCAGAGTCAGAGTCAGGAGTACTTGGAGTACTTGTAGAGTACCTGACATGATTCATCTCAGTGGGGGTGTGGTAGGGCGGACCACTGTGCAGCAGCGGTGTTCTTGGCTGGGAGCAATAATAAATTAGGAGCACAGCCAAAGTTAGCCAAAGAAAGCACTGTCTTATTTTTATACCAAACACCAAATTTGATTCTTAATCATGTGTGGTTTATTATTTCATAAAACTAGGGGTTAGATTTACTTTTTACACATATGTCAATTGTACCACTCCTGTCTGAGTGTGTGCCCCAGCCGGATCACCCCGTCCAAAATTTTCTAGATTTGCCCCTGTAGGTTAAACAAGTAGCAGACATCACTGACAGCCAGTGCCTTGGAAACAAAATGACACAATACTGGTGAAAGTAACAACAACAACAAAGGTCTTTATGAAAAACAATTGTAATTAGGTGAAAAAAACAGAAGTCTGACTTCCCATCCACTATTCATAAATACTAGTCATCTATTTAATATCCAAACAGACTGTCTAGAGCGGATCATATGGACTGGATCATATGGACAGGAGAGAGTTTTTATGTGAGCAAAGCAGTAAGCAATGGAAAGTAGCTAGGAAGACAGTTGATAATATACACATTGTGACAAAGAAATGTGAGGAATTGTTGTGACAGAACAGTATGTGATTACTGTCCTTAAGTCAGTGACATCCAGCGTTATACAGTATATGCTCACAGTAAGTACTGCACAGCAGTAGGCTATATTCCTGCCAGGCTTGAACAGACACCTGATGCTGCTACAAATGTTGCAGCAGTGAGACTGTGATTATGCAAACACTGGCACTCTAGCTTTTAGAGTGGGGGCTCATCTGAAAAGAAATGGAACAACTCAGCCTAGTGGAGCTGTTCTCTAAAGAAAACACTGACAGCATAATAAGTAACCACTCAAACGGGCCTGTCCACGTTAGCAAGTAAAGAAAGCTGATTTGAACGTAGATGGAACAACTCAACCCGGCCACACTCTCCTCGAAAAGGAGACCACTGACAAGATAATAGCTATTCTCTGAAACTTGTCCATGGCTGTGTGAAATCTTATGCATCCAGAGCTTATCTGCTGTAAAGAGAGCAGACATGGCTCGCGCATAATGCCATACCATGCAATATGATATACCTTCAGCACCAGACACTCTCTGCATACAACAGATCCAACGCTATTAATGCAAAGTCAAAATTAAAAATTCTACTGGTGAGCTTAATCAGAAACCAAAGTATTAAAAATAGTGTAGAAACATGACCAATTGTGGTCTTTAGTGAGTGTTAGAGCTGCTAGCAGTTTAGCAGGTTAGCTGTTTCCACCTGCTTCCAACCTGCTGTAACAACATCTGTAGCATCTAAACATGACTGTGGCGTTGATCATGTCCTGAAAGAAAAATAAGCTTGTTCCTAAAAATATCAAACAAATGCAGTTCAAAGTTCAAACAACCACCAGTTTAATTCATCATCACCTCAACTATTTTACTAATGATTGCCTGAACTCCTTTAAGCTAGTGAAGTAGATGCAGATCATACTGTGATTCAGTTAACAAACAGATTTTAAAGTACAGGTATATTTACTCTGAAAGGGATCGGTGGGCAAGTTGGAGTTTTCTGGGGTTCTTGGGTTTTGTCTAACAATAAGCATGTTTACAAGTTTATTAAATCTAAAGTTCCTGGGGTGACCTGGGTCATCTTTGGGTGTTTATGGCTGAAAGCAAAACAACATCACCTTGTACGAATGTTTACCAAGTAATTCATAGACGTCAGAATGTCATTTTCTGTCTTCATTTGACAAAGAAGTGACAAAAAGGCTTCTGAATATCTGGATGACAAGAAACTGTGGCAAGAGAGACAGCTTCTCACCTGAGCTGACACCAGTCTCGTGCATCTTGTCAGGACTGCTGAAACCCCTCTGGGCTTCAGGAAAAAAAAAGAGTGACAGAGTTTAGCTCACTGGAATTGGAAACAAAAGAAATCTAAGCTCTGAAAACCCTGAATGTTGCTATTGCAAGAGACCCTGAAGCTATGGCGTTTATTGTGACATTTTGTTTTATTTCAATTTAAAGGATGTCAACATGAACCTAAATAAGTCAGTCTTTACAAACTCCCACTGCACTGTCATTTGTAATACTTCCAAAGTAAATGTTGTGTCTCAGATGTCTCAAAAACCGAGCTACACTCTAGAGCAATAAGGCAGACTGGCTCCAAGTTCTCAGTCACTGGTCGGCTCACTGCCCACTCACAGAAGAATGTCTCTGAAAATAGTGTGACATTGTTTACTTTGTCATTTTTATTGACTGGCTTTGCTGGTAGGTTTTGGTGCATAATGGTAAAAAGGCTACCCTCGATAAGTTTCCAAGCTATTCATGTAAAATATTATTAAGCTTTCTGGGGTACAATACTACAACATTCACCCTGAACCAGTCCCCGGGGTAAATAAAACTACTAAGAGGACCAAGGAGAAAAATACTGCAGGTAGACAATTTTCATGAATGAGTCTCTAAGTGTACTTCATGACATGACAATGATAAATGATGACACAAAGGCTGAATGTGTCTATGATGTTGTGAAATATAAACATAAAAGGATCACAACAGTTTGTCACATGACCCATACTGACCTGAATTAAGGATTCCTTAGACAAACAGGACAAGAATTTCAATTAAGATGATAATTTAGGAATTATTTTGCTCAAGACAGCCTTGGTTTTGTAAACTTTGTCATGTTTCTGTAATATCGTACCTGTGGAGTTACACTTGGCATCCCAAACACTGTTGGAGGTAGAGACATCTTGCGAAAGCCTTCATCCACACAACGATCGATCTGAAGTCTTTGACAGAT